AATATATTCAACATGGTTTCCTTCAAATTACAATATATCCTTTGATGTGAAACATTACAGGAGTCAACAAAACAGCAGCTGAAAGGCAGCTTTTTGTGACCCTTTAGTATTCCAACAAGACTAACAGGTTCCTTATAGGGGGAATAAATGATGTGTCTTCAACATTTGGACAGATCTACAGAGTAGAGGGAGGACTACAATTTCTCTTTAAGTGTGGGTGGACTTCAACAAGCTTTGCCTGCCCTCCAGTCACTGCAGATGCTTCTCGCCTTTCTTCTCTCCAACAATCTGTGTTCACTCCCTTACTCCCAGAGTTGGCTAACACACCAGGCTCTCTCCCCCATCCAACCGTTTCCCTGAGCTTGACTTGAAAGTAGCTTATATTGCGACCTCACTAACTGTCCCATGTCACTTCCAGCCTAATAGTGTTTGCCTCAGGCAGACTGTACTGTGACACAGAATGCACCTACAGATCCATTCATCACCCCACTTTTTAAGATATCAGTAACAAAAGTATAGATTACAAGCCTGTCATGGCAAGTAGTATTTTATGAATCAATTATTTAGACAGCCCTATGTCCTTACATGGCATCTTACAAAACTTCATAAGCATGAACAGAGATAATTCCCTGACCACAACCTACAAACAAACAAGGTGTTGATTCAGAAACCACAAAATTCAATCTCCAAATCATGGTTTAGCAGCAATGTTAGTGCTAACCATAGCTCTTTTGCCTGACTTGTTGCAAACTACAGAAACAACAGAATCTTTGCCAAAAACACAGGGGGTTTGTGAGACATGAATTTATCCAAAGGGGAAGACAATGATAGAGGACTGGTAGGAGAACCAAGGGTACGAGGGATGTATATATGACTTTAGCTACACATACTCACTTGATGGCTACTTTTAAATTGGTATTTAAGCCTTGTAGTGCAGTGGGTAAACTGCAGTACTGCAGTGAAGACTCTGCTCATCACCTGAGTAGTTGGCTTGAGGTTGACTCAGCCTTCCATCCTTCCAAGATTGGTAAGTTGAGTATGCAGCTGGGAGGGGCAATGTGTAACTTGCACAATTAAACTGTAAATCACACAGAGAGCTTTAAGCATTTTGAGGTGGTATACAGTATAAGCAGCACACTCTGGTTTGCTTTATCTGCAATGAAGACTCTGCTCATCACCTGAGTAGTTGGCTTGAGGTTGACTCAGCCTTCCATCCTTCCAAGATTGGTAAGTTGAGTATGCAGCTGGGAGGGGCAATGTGTAACTTGCACAATTAAACTGTAAATCACACAGAGAGCTTTAAGCATTTTGAGGTGGTATACAGTATAAGCAGCACACTCTGGTTTGCTTTATATTGGACCACTGCCACTGTTGTCATTAAAGTGGTGCCTCGCTAGACGATGATAATCCGTTCC